TGTTGTGAATTGTTGCAAAAATATGTAACTGTTTGTTAAATTCATTTGTTGTAATTTCTATAAAGCCCTTAGAAACCTCTGAGAGAGTTTTTTCTTCATTTTTCTTTATCAACTCTGCTGTTGTTGCTGCTTCTTAGAAAAACTGGTAAAAACAAAATTGTAATCATTGAACATAGCACTCTGACAATCAAGATGTTTAAAGCCTTCAATCTTCTGGGGTGAAGAAAGTACTGTGTGACACTTAGAACTCTGATTAACAAACAAGGTGGTCACAAATTTTCCTGGATTGAAGACTTCCACAACTTTCCTGATCAGGTCGTCATAGGAGATCTGACTTAAGTTTGTTTCAAAGCTAACATAAGAAAATTCTGGTTCTGGAGTGATGTGAATAGTCCAATAAGTTCCATCCAATTTCATTCCATTCATTGAATACCCACAAGGATTGAACAATGTGGCATCAATGACAGAACCTGGTATCAGGTCACAAATTCCACTCTCACGAGTGACATCCTTTGCAGTAACTGGTCCATAACTGCTGGGTGAAGCTCACTCATCAGAATTTCCAGGGTTTGATCTGGCTGACTGATTACTCAACTTCCGGAAAATCCAAAGTATACAATTACCAACAGTCAAAATTCATATGTCCCATATAATATGCTGCTCCATTTGGGAAAACTGGATTTAGAAATTCTATTTCTTCCTGGAAATTCCAGTGTGGGTACCCTTGGTGAGAAGGCTTCATGAAATTCTTATGAAAATAGAAGAATCTTTGAATTGAGTCAAACCCACTGTAATCCCTAGCAAGCTTCAAAAGGGAACCAGTGCTTTCAGTGAGAGGGAGGTACCACATGTCTTCAAAATGAAACATCTCTTGGTGACAAACATGCTGCTCTCACTGAGTACATAAGCTTCCTGCTTGTCAGTTTTTGTCACACTTATGATTGAACATTACACATCTTTCAAAAGTATGTCCCACTCAGATCTCGGGATAGTGCGAAGATCCCCAGATCCTTGGTTTGCATCAGGTTGCTGCTGAGAGAACCAAACCTCCAGCAGCTTCTCCATCCCTTTGAAAAAATGTGCAGCTTCCATGACTGTGAGACTAGCAAACAACCAACAACCACAGAAAATCAACTAAATTAAACCTCTTCTCCCACTGCTGCCGCCACCGCTGAGGATTGTTCCAGCTGTGTTACTAAAGTTCAGGTTCCCTTTTTTGCTATAATTTTATATTAACTTTTTTTTTAAAAAGGACTAATGAAATTTCTCTGGTTTCTTCTTGTGAGTGAAAGTTGAACGTGAGTCTGTTGGAAATAGAGGCAGATACAGTTCAGTCTCTTGTAATCTGCTGCTTCCTCATTAGAGAGAGTAGAGAAAGCTCTAGCTAATGTTGCTGGCCATACTGTGTAAGCCTGACTTGTAATCTAAATTGAACTGTTAAATGGGACTAAGAGACTGGGCAAAGAGTATAGAACTATATACAGTAGTTATATTTACTCTGAAGCCTTAAGACTCAACAAAAGTCGCTTGTTGGCTACACTGGAAAATTTGTGCAGTATTAAATGTTATCTACTATGTCTATATAGATACCTCTGGAAAAATTAAAACCTAAAATGAGAATTTCCCACTAAATGGTGTAACTATAACACTGCATTCTACTGTGCCTAATCTGTATACTTTGCTGAGTCTGCTGCTAGCAGAAGCCAAGTGGCCCACTTGCCTGGACTTAAAAGATGCCTTTTTTAGTATAAGGCTGGCTCTGGGAAGCCAAAGGCTGTTTGCTTTCCAGTGGGAGAGACCAGACACTGGAACTGCTATCCAGTACACACAGACCAGGTTGCCACAGAAGTTTAAAACACCCACAATTTTTAGAGCTGCACTGGCTAATGACCTCCAGAAATTCCCAGCTGAAGAATTAGAATGTGTGCTGCTCCAATATGTTGATGACCTCCTTTTAAGACACCCTACCCAGGAGGGCCGCATCTGAGGCACGGACTATCTTTGATGACATCTAGAGGTATGTGGCTATAAAGTGTCCAAATGAAAAACCCAGATTTGCCAATGGCAAGTACGTCATCTAGGATTTACTGTCCAGCAGGGGTAGAGGTATCTAGGCATGAAATGGAGGCAGGTCATTAATTGCTCCCCACCTTCACAAGCTAAAAGCAAGTTTGGGAATTCTTAGGCCCTGAAAGCTTCTGTTGCCTTTAGATTCCCAAATTTGCCATCTTGGTTGTCTTGGCTAAGCCCTTGTATGAGGCAACTAAAGGAGAGGAAGGAGAGCTCTTAGAATATGGAGAAGAACAGGAACATGCCTTCTCCCAGCTAAAGATGAGGCTAATAAATGCATCTGCATTGGGGCTACCAGACTTGGCCAAGCCCTTCACTCTGTATATCTCAGAGAGAGGAAAAATGTCTGTAGGTGTGTTAACCCAGCTAGTTGAGTCCTGGCCAAGGCTGCCTGTAGGTTACTCTTACCTAAGCAGTTGAATGGAGTAGCAAAATGATGGCCATCATGTTTACGGGCTTTAGCCACTACGGCTCTCCTTGTGCAAGAAGCTGATAAGCTGACTCTAGGGCAGAATCTCAGAGTGAAAGTACCCCACTCTGTGGTCACTTTAATGGACACTAAAAGAACATTTTTGGTTTTCTAATGTAAGAACACCCTAACCCCAGCCACGCTCCTTCCAGTCAGTGGAAGAGAGACTTAGGATGACTGTACAGAAGTTATAGATAATATGTATTCTAGCAGATCTGACTTGCGTGACCGCCTTGGACAGTTATAAACTGGAACTTGTATGTAGACTGAAGCAGTTACATGATGGCACAAGATGAGAGGTGACCTGGGTATACAGTGGTTACCTTAACAGAAACTATAGCGGCTAAGCCTCTTCCCAAAGGAACATTGACTCAGAAGGCTGATTTAATTGCCTTGACTCAAGCCTTAGAAGTAAGTCAAGGGAAAAATGTGAATGCTTTTCTGACTCTCCAAGTACAAGGACATTGTACAAGAAGGGACTATTAAATTCTGGAAAAAAGGACATTAAGTATCAGCAGGAGATACTTCAGCTGCTAGAGGCAGTATGGAAACCCCCAAAGGTGGCAGTGATGCACTGTCATGGACATCAGGGAGATGCTTCCGCCATCACTAAAGGGAACACTAGGGTTGGTACTAAGACAAAAAGGGTTGCACCCAAATCGCACCAGGTGTCGTGAGTGGCTCCCCTCATCCCGTGTGTTCTCAAGCTCTCACTTCTCTACTCCTGGGAAGAGAAGGACCAGTTGGCAGCAGACAGGAGCCAGGAAATGAAGGGAGAATGGATAAAGATGTCAGATGGATGAGTAGCTGTCCCCCGGGTTCTAGGAGCCACTGTGATGACAGGAGTATTTGATGAAATTGCTGGGCCAATACCTCTACATCTCCTACCTGGCAGCCCCAGCCAAAACTATCAGTCTACAGTGTGTCACCTGCAGCCAGTTTGACATGTGCCAAGAACCAATAGTACCCCCAGGAATCCAGTCATATGGAGCAACGCCCTTTGAGAACTTCCAGGGAATTAAGTCTAAATCCAGGATCAGAACCTGTTCCCCCCAAACCAGGACAGAAAGAACTTTACACCATCATCCTGACTACACACATGGCAACAAAAATGGAAAGAATCATCACCTGAAGTCATCACAACTGGCTAAGTAGAGCTTCACTGACACTTGAAAGGTAAAAATAACTTTTAAGACAGCCAACATGCCCTGTTTCAGTCATATACCGGAAGCTGGCTGGTCAATGCACGGCTGAAGCCTGAGGAAACTCCTCAAGGAACTTATTTTAATTAGACTTTAAACTGAACTTTGGGAAAAGGAGAGGGGGGAATATCACACAGGGAAAAGTAAAAACTTGTATGTGTATTAGCCCACCACCCTGATGTAACTGTTACATCTCCGTAAAACTAAGTAAACTCTGCAGCTAGGGACAAAAAATTTTAAAATCCTAATGCACCAGATGAACAAAGATTTAAAGGAAGTAGAAAGGTCCATAACCCAACTAAAAACATCCTTAGACTCACTAGCTGAGGTAGTCTTGCAAAATCGGAAAAGACTGGATCTTCTATTTCTGAAGCAGAGAGGCCTGTGTGTAGCCCTGGGAGAAACTTATTGCCTCTACATTAAGAATTTAGAAGTAGGCTCGGCGCCTGTTGCTCAAGTGGCTAAGGCGCCAGCCACATACACCTAAGGTGGCGGGTTCGTATCCCCAGCCCGGCCCGCCAAACAACAATGATGGCTGCAACCAAAAAAAAATGGCCAGGCGTTGTGGTGGGCGCCTGTAGTCCCAGCTACTTGGGAGGCGGAGGCAGGAGACTCGCTTGAGCCCAGGAGTTGGAGGTTGCTGTGAGCGGGATGTCATGGCACTCTACCCAGGGGGATAGCTTGAGGCTCCGTCTCAAAAAAAAAAGAAATTCTAATTGAGTCAGTGGTCCTTAATCTCACCCCATAACACTATGATCTTCTTAATAACATTTTCTTTTCCTCAAGCTTACTTTATTGTAAGAATAAAGTATATAATACATCTATAACACACAAAGTACTGTAATCATCTGTTTATGTTATTGGTAGGGCTTCCAGTCAACAGCAGTTTATTAGTACTTAAGGTTCTCAGGAGTCAAAAGTCATATGCGATTTTCTACTGGGTGGAGGTCAGCGCCCCCCATGCTCCTGTTGTTCAAGGGTGAACTGTATACTACAGTGGAATTACTGGGTTGTATGGTAACTCTATGTTTGATCATTTGAGAAAACGAAGAGGATTCTTGGTGCCATAAGAGTTCAAGCAGAGGGGAAGTGGCCATGCCTGGGCCTGCTTGCCACTGGCTCTCCATGTGACCTAGGCGGCTCCCTCTCATCCTCCGGCCAGGCCCGTCTTTCCCTGGCCAAGCCAGCACGTCCCGCCTGCTCCCTCCCCAGTCCAAACTCCAGGCCTGGGCGAGGCACTTCTAATCCACCTCTGGGCAGACCCGGGCAGCCTCTGAGTGAAAAGCACCCTGACCTCCGGCAGTGCAAAAAGACCTGCGAGCTGACCATGCGGCCAGACCAACTTCGTGCACGGCTGAGCGCGGTGGCCTGTGGGCTCCTGCTTCTCTTTGGTGTTCAGGGTGAGGCTCCCGCGAGGGGCAAGAGGGATAAGGGGTCGGATCTGCTCAATTCTGCAGAGGCAGAAGCTGAGACAGCGGAAAGGAAGGCGTCTGGGAGGTAGGAGCTGGTGGAGATGAGAGCGCAGGAATGTGCTCCCACCTGACACCTCCCCAGATCCCAGGGTGGGCACCAGAGAGGGTCGGGACTGCCAGAAGGGAACCCAGTAGCAGGGGCTCTGAGGAGCCCGGACATACCCGCTGAATCAGCAGTCCAGAGAGGGGGGAATTTAGTACCTTTCCCTGTGTGTTTGTGGCTGGAGCTGGTGCTGCCCTCGCATAGTAACACCAACAATCACATCTTCCTGCCACCACTGGCTATGAATGCCTCTCCTTGGTAACAAGGGTCACTCCAGACAACCTTACTGGCCTGTGGGAGTATGTGAGCTGCAGGGCTTCACATCCTAAAGCCAATCTCCACCACAGACACACCCCCCACCCCCACCCCAGGGTGAGGCCATGGCTTGGATTCCAAGGCTCCAGGGTGAAGGTGACAGCACTTTCTACCTGCCAGGCTTTCCCAGGCCCTTATCAGAAGCTTAGGGCGAGTCTGTGGCCCTTGATCCTTTCATCCAAATGTCTTCTAAGTGTGAGAGCTGATTTTCCCTTCCCTTTCCCAATGTGATCTGCCCAGGAGCAGTCCACACTCACTCCTCCCTCAAGGCCCATCCCCACAAAGCTTCCTCTCTTACCTACCAAGTTCTAGAACTCCCCAGAACCTTCCAGGTAGATGTGTTCAGCCTCACAGGTGGCTCCCTTGTAAAATATCATTTTGGGTTAGACACATATCCAGAAAGAATAATTGACAAGCCTTAAGAGGGTGCAGGGGTTTGGCACCTGTGGCTCAAGCAGCTAAGGCATCAGCCACATACACCTGAGCTGGCGAATTCAAATCCAGCCTGGGCCTGCCAGACAATGACGGCTGCAACCAAAAAATAGCCGGGCGTTATAGCAGGCACCAGTAGTCCCAGCTACTTGGGAGGTAGAGGCAGGAGAATTGCTTGAGCCCAGGAATTGGAGGTTGCTCTGAGCTATGATGCCAGGGCACTCTACCTAGGATGACAGCTTGAGACTCTGCCTCAAAAAAAATAAATAAATAAATAAAAAAGGAGGATGCAGGAGGTGGGTCCCACTATCCTGTTTCCCACAGTCCTGGCTCTTCTACAGGGGCCCCAGGTCCACGGGTCCTTACACAAGGGATGGATGGATGTGTGCACTTGCCCGTGCTTTTCACCTCAGTGGTCACAGACCCACCACTTTCTGGTGTCAGGCTTTTCCACTTCCTGACATGGACCTCTTCACACCCCTACATGGTAGAGCTTCCTTAAACTGTTTGATGGAAGAGCTTGACTTCAGGGACAAAACAGCCTTGATGTAACTTTTCTCTACATCAGGCATCACTGACCAGTGGCCACACTGAATTACATGGACAGATGTCCCATCATAGAGCAAGGAATTGTGTGTAGGCAGCAAGTTACAGGAGGAGGGGGTGAGCCTTTTGATTTGGAGAGACATTGCTGAATTGCCCTCTCTGGTGTCTGAGTGGCTGCTGACTGTGGCCTCACCCACACCTGGTGGCATCAAACTGTTGATCTCTGATAGGTGTAGGGTAACATAAGCTCCTTGGAACTCGTTGGTTTTTGTTTTTTTATTATGGTACTGGGCTCATATTCCCCAAATTCTGCAGAGGCAGACCTGAAACAGTGGAAGAGGGGAAGGTGCCAGGAGGTGGAGTTGGTAGAGATAACAACAGCCAGAGAATCTCCCTGTGCCCTGAAGCACAGAGAGGGTTGGGGCTGCTTGAGGGCTGCACAGCACTGAGGGGTGAGCCCAGTCTAAGGTAGAGAGAATAGTGTAATAAATCCAATGTGCCCATCACCCACCTTCAACATGGATGAAGACTTGGACAACTAAGTTTTATTTGAACTGCAACCTCTCCCTTGTACCATTATTTGAAGCAAATCCCAGGCATCATATTATCTGTGAATTTTTCACCATGTCCCACTAAAAGATTGTGCGTATGCATTTCTGTATTTCCACAATACCATAAGTGTCAGTGTGATCAGCTGTCTATTCAAATGTACTTATTTACCACCATTTCATAAATGATATTTATCCAGGGTTATTATTATTATTATTATTTTGGTTTTTAGGGCAAGGGTCTCCCTATGTCAAACTCCTGGATTCAAGCAATCCTCCTGCCTCAGCCTCCCGGGTATCGGGATTACAGGCGTGTGCCACCATGCCCAGCTATATAGGATTTCTTTTTAAATTAAGATTCTGATAAAGTTTCACTTTCCAAATTACCAGATGTTTCTTTTTTTGTAAGAACAGCTTTGAAATATAGTTCACATACCAATTCACCCACCTGAAGTGTACACTTCAACAGGTTTTAGTGTGTTTATAGAGTTCACCACATCAATTCCTTTGCTCCCCAATTCTCAAACCCCAACCTCAGCCCTCTACCTCTATGATGTGCTGATTCTGGAATCATATAATTCGTGGGCCTTTCTGACTGGTTTCTGTTATTAAGTTTGATATTTTCAAGGTTTATCTGTGGGATAGCAAGTATTAGAACTTGATTCCCTTTTACTGCTGAATAATATTCTGGTAGGTAGAAATACCAAAATTGATTGATCCATTCGTGAGTTCAGGGACACTCAGATAACCACTTTTTGGCCATTATTATGTAAAGAATCCTACTAAGAACATTAGTGTACAAATTTTGTGTGGACTTGTGTTTTAATTTCTCTTGGGTTTTGTGCCTAGGAGTGGAATTGCTGAGTCATAGGGTAACTCTATGTTTAATCAGCTAAAGAACCGCCAGAGTGTTTTCCAAAGAAGCTGTGCCATTCCAACTGGCAATGTGAGGTTCCAACTTTCCCACGTTCTTTCCAACATGTCTTATTATTTCATTTTTATGTGTTTCTTGAGGTTCAATTTTTTTTTTTTTT